TCCGTACGTTGGTTTCAATAAGAGTCGTCACTCTGTGCCCGTTGCTGCCCGTCGGCACAATAAACTCCTTATAACTCTCAATCGTTATATCAATGATCAATGGTTTAAAGGAAAGTCCGTCGGCCCACCATCCTGTACAGGTCAATATATTCAATCTCCAACCAACGTTCAAACAGGCTACACTTGTCTTTCAGTATTCAATAGTCAATTCAATAGTCAATATAAGAACAATGTAGAGCAATCATATCAACATTCATATGCATATCTATTCAATTCATCAATCTCAGAAAAATCAGAAATTGTACGAAATTCGGCAGCGTAACGGCAGTCTATCAAATTTACACAAAAAATCATACAAAATCACATTTCACCAAATTACAATAGAATGTTCACAACAATAATATAATACTATTATTCTACTGAATCAATATCAATAAACATCCTGATATTTTTCTATTCGATCAAAATCGCGTAGAACCCAAAATAACCGGTGAAATCGTTCCAGAAAACAATCAAATCGTGTAGAATATTCGTATCTATAACATATTAAAAGTTGTGTGGTGAAAGTTGTGTCAATACAAAATCGGGTCCGTTTTTCGATCACAAAAATACAAAACAGTGCACAATACGATCAAAACTCAATATCTCTGAAAACAGAAATAGGATTCGGAGTCCTTACCACGAGATAAACACTTTTCCCAACAGCGGCGTCGGACGAAAAGCGCTCCGCGGCCTCCGGAATCCGGCTTTTCCTTCGCTTTTCTTCTCTTTCTCTGTCCTCAGATATTTTCGTTTTTATAAAATGATTTTCTCTCTCCTCAAAACGAGCTGATTTCCTTATAACATAAGCCTGATCGGCCCGGCCGATCGCCACATCGTCCTGGCCGATCAGAACAAAATCCAATAGGCCCGGACAATTCCTCAGGCCGATAATTTCGGTTTTGGTCTCGGGATTTTTGTCTCATCTGATCGTCCCAGGACGATCTAAAATCGGCCTGGACGATCCCATTCCAAAAAAATCAGCTGTTTTAATGCACTGATCGTCCTGGACGATCTCAATATCGTCTCGGACGATCCTGGGAGAAAAATCAGATCCAGAGAAAAACAAATCAAAGGAACGAGCTCTCACAATTAACTATTTATCGACTTTGTATTCATTTTTTTAAATTAGGTTGCATGAATTTTAAATATATATGAGTTATTTTTATTTATTTTATCTCCTTTTGGAACTTTTA